GGCTTATTGATATGGATGCTTTTAACACAGGCTGAGTCCCGGGCATTCTTGACCATGTTCATTCCCTCTAGGACTTCTGCCTTTGGGCCAGTTAGTAAAATGCCTTTTGGTTTGTTCTCAGGATTGAAAGTTACCTGTACATTTTCCGTCTTTAGCTTTAACCAGAGTGGCTTCTCTTGTGCCTTTATATAACCAATAACCAAGGATGGCTTTACTTCAATAAATCTCTCTATTTTCGTGTGTTTTTCCACGAAGTTAGAAAGCAAGCCATGGACTTCATTGACTTCTCTCACACAGCCTGCGATGATGACCTCAGCCGTGGTTTCTGAAATTAACTCACTGATTATTACCGTCTTTGAGGATGAATTATAGTTCTCATGCAAATTGCGAGTGAGTTCTTTCCATTTCTTGTCATTAAGAACTTCCCTGTCCTCGACATCAATGTGCTTATAAAGTAAGGCACTGACCATCTGCTTTTCAGCTTCTAACAGAACTTCAGAAGAACAGCTGCTTAAGAGAACAGCTCTGCTCTCTAGCTCATAAACGGCAAGAATTTTCTGTGCTATAAAAAGAGACTCAGAGAATTCTGCACAGTCTACCTGTTGCAAAAACTGGAAAACCTCCTTGGGAAACTGAATGTTTTTCTCAGCCATGGTGTGCACCGTTTCCTGGAGTTCACACTTCACTTTATACACATCTGCTCTGAGTCCTTTCAAGCACAAGCATCGAGTGGCTTTATCATAAGCCATCTCCATCTCTGGGCACTCCATGCGGAGACGCTCCTGGACACCACTGTGGCACAGAAGAGAATACCTTCCTGGAGAAATGGCCACTTTTTCCTTCAGACTTTGCTCTTCTCTTTTAATTTTTTGAGTGGTGCTTTCTATTAATTCCTTGACGTGTGGCTCAATGTTTTGTATATCCTCTGATTTCCCCACTAAGGTTACAATCCCCATACTTGTATCAAACTCCAACAAAATCCTATCGTCTTCTAAATCATTTTTTATGGCGTCCCACACTATTGGATCCACTTCAAATAGAGTAACTGTATATTTAGACCTGATGCCAGAGAATGCTGTGGAAGCGTCTTTCTGCCAGGTCTTGATTCTTCGTCTTCCTTGGTTGACTAAGGTGGCTGCAGGTCTGATGGTAACTTCACCACTGAGTTGGGACCATGTTAGCTCACAGTGACAACGTCTCACTTCATCATTTATCTCCTCAATCAGGTGATTCTTTTTCTGCAAGAACTTCCATAAGGGAAGATCCAAGGATTCTCGGAATGGGGCTGGAAGCTTGATCAGAGGCTTCTCCTTTCCATACAAGGCTGTGCCCAAAGATGTATAATATGGGAACACAGACAGCGGCATATTATTGAGGTCAAGTTTCTTGGTCATGATGGTGTCTACCACTTAAAAGGAAAGAAATAAAATAAAGTAATCCCAGTGTAATGTGTTTCAAATGAGAAAAAAAAAAAAAAACACTGTTCCTCTTCTAGAGAAAAAAATCCTCATGTTTCTAGAACTTTGATGTTACAACATGGTATTAAAAAGCAGCACTACTCTCAAGGTTCTCAGATATAAACTGATATGTATTAACATTGCCTCGTATTCCTCATTCAGTGGAATAATTAATTCCCAGCCAAGATCACTCTAAGTTGAAATTCTGTTGCATAAATTCTATTTTCTATTTTTCTGATAACACTGATATGTCACCACCAGGTTAAGAAAGAGATAGGACTTTAGTCACAAGCATGGGGACAACATTTGCCCCAGCGTAAAGAATACTTTGGTGCTCAAAGCAAAGCTCATCTGAGTATCATGCTGTTTCTTCTTCTTGCACAGTTCCACGATTTTAGGCTTCACTGATGACTTAGATTCCAATGGAAACAGTGAAATACAAGATTGATAAATAGATTCTGTTTTTAATACAGCGTTATCTATAGTTTGCCTCATTACTGGTAACCCATTTTAAGTGCTAAAATATCCTACATGAAAAATTAATGTTACA